GGGAGCAGCGGGGCTCCGGGGGAGAGGCACAAATCGCGCCCGGCGCCGAGCCGCAAGGAACCGCACGGAAGAGCGAGCCGGAGCCCGGCCGGCCGCCCTCGGGGAGCCCGGCCGGGGTCGGGTACGAGCCGGCGTACGGGCAGCCCGCCGTCCCGGCGGGGCTCCCCGCGGTGGGAACTCCCTCCCGCTCCTCCCGGTGCCCGTACGGAGCCACTGCGCTCCTCGTCCGTCCCAGCCCGGGCCCGGGAGGCGGAGGGAGCGGGCCCGGTGTCTCCCGCGACGGCAAGCGCCGGAGCTCGGTGCGCTCGGCGGAGCCCCGCACGAAGTGGGGGCACTCGGGGGGTGAAGTCCGCGGGCACCGCCGTCTCCCCTGGAAATCGCCCTTCCCCTGGTCTCTCTACCCCACGAAACGCTTCGAGCCCATCGCCCCGGGGGGCAGCCCAGGCAGGGGTTGTCGGGGCACGGAGCCACTGTGCACTGAATAGTAACGGAGGGGGAAGAGGACACATACCTCTGGCCCTGCTAGGGGTGAGCAGGGAATGCACAGACCAGGACCTGTCGTGAAATCATCCCGCTAAGGCGGAGTGGGGAACGGGGCTCAAATCACGCCTCGGAGGAGGCTGCCGAGCACAGCACGGGCTGACAAAAAGCAGCAAAGGGATGCCCAGAGCAGCGGGGCTTTGAGCGCTGAAGAAATAAGAGGATCCGGGGGAAAGGGCTGTGCAACTTCAGCTGTGCAAAGCCCTGGCATCCCGGGACAGGAAGAAGGCAATTTAAGCCTGGAAATTTTTGTTCGTCTGCAAACACTTCAGCCGCGGTTTGCAATAGCGCTTAAAACTGACCCAGGACCCGAAGCCTCCTCTTCAGAAGCTGCTCAGTTTTGGGGTCACCTCCCAAAGAGGGACATGAGTTTCTGAAATATCTCGTTATTTTATAATTTTTTTTCCCCCTGTATTATCAGAAGGTGTCAGCAAGGCTTCAGGGGCATTTGTTGCTCAAATCAGTGTTGTGGTTGCAGGCCGGAACTTTGTACTGTGCCTTCTGCTAAGGATGGCTCTATTTTAAAATGAAACTCCGGTGCGTTATGTAGTAAAGGACAAGAAAGAAAACTAATTATCCCCTTTAACCTCCTATATATACATTTTTCTTCCTTACAAACAAACTACTTTGGAGGAGAAATGTGTTTATTCTGAAACGTTCCTCACAATTAGTCTCTGCTTTGAACGCAAACTCCGGATGCAGCAAAGTCACTTATCTGCAGAGGTATCACCAACAACATAAAACAGCAGGGAAAGGAGCAAAAAAGTCTCCCAGCTGCCAGGGTCAGCTTCCAGATTCTGGGAAGACGGAAATATTCTTCTGGGAAGAAGGAAATATTCACTTACCTGTCTCAGCTTTCCAGACCAACACCTGGAGTCTGCCCTGATCTGGTGGCCTTGGAAAAGCAATTGCACCCCACTTTGCATCTGGCTGCAAGCAACGGCAAGTCGAATCTAAAAATAAACCAGTTTGGGTTTGTTGGTTTTTTGGGTTTTGTTGGTTGGTTTTTGTTTTGGTTTGGTTCTGTGGGTTTTTTTTAATAAATTGTAGGTTTGCTATAGAAGTCCTTAAATGCTAAAAAGCTTTGGTTATCTGTGAGTGCTGGGGCAGCCACGGAGGTACGGGGAGCCCCGGGCCCCAAGCGCTGCCGCCCGGGGAGCCCCGGGAGCTGGCACTGCCGCCCGGCACAGCTCGGGGAGGGCCTGGGAACCTGCAAGGGGTACATGGGGGGGCCACGGCCCACCTCCTGCACAGCAGTGCATACCAGATAGGAGGTATCTCAATTTACACCAGCTGCGACCCTGGCTGGCCGTCCGTCCGCAGGGGCGGTGAAGCGCTGGTCCTTTCTTATATTACGATAATGAGTTTAGAAAGCCTGACTCACGTAAAAAGTATCTATAAAGATTTACTCGCGGTTTTGTCAATTTGGAAGTACGTTTCTCCATTTTCCATCTACTCTAAACTTGCTGTTTTTAATCTCCAAAACAGTCATTGGGAAAGAAAACTGGGGGAGGAGAAGCATTTCTATAAAGAGTTTAACCAAAGCACATTAAATATTTTCCCAACATCACCAAATAAACAACAATCCTCCAGCTCCCTATAAACTATTTAAAGCATGTCATATCATCTCTTCTGCTCTTGCCAATGTACTTTCCTTTTAATTTATAAGCCGATTAGAGCAGGGGCCTGTCTTTTTGTGTATATTTGCAAAATGTTTGGCACTCTTTCAGTCAGTCGCAGTTCACAAACACTTAAATCTGCATTTAATTTCGTTATTATAGGTAGTTACTTTGATTTTTCCTCACTTTTGTAGAGCTACCGCCTGTGAAAGTGCTTGTTGTAAATGGTCTGAGCAGTTGTTGAAGGGTTTCAGCAGAGGAAACTTCTTTGGATGGCAGGGCTGATACAAAAAAAAAAAAAAGAAAAAAAAAAGAGAGAGAAGAAAAAGCGGAATGGAAATTTAAACGGAGATCTCAGGCTGTACAAATTGGCCCAAAAGAAAACAGGGAAAACCTCCTTAGGAGGAACATTTTTAGTTTGCTAGAAAATAAACTTCTGCTCATAAATGATGAAAGTTATTATCATCAGAGGATGTGCTGTACCAAACAAACCTCCATTAGGCTGGGAAGGATAAAACAGGCTAGACAGCCTTTTTAAAAAAAAAAAATCATCATGTCTTTGATTCCCAAGATATCAACCATGTCTGTTTCTGTAGTGCTGTCAAGTAAACCTGAGTTATGGATGCTCTAAAAGAAGCCAGCAAGGAGAAAATTCAGCAAGTGAAAATTAAGAGCATTATCCATACATACTTTACCAAAATATACTTTCTTTTCAGACTCTTAAGTTCCTGCCCTGTACCACGGTATGACAATTTCTGAGAAGAAGAGCAAGACCAGTGAATGTGGTAAAGCTGTAGTCATCAGAGCACACAATTGCATGACAGATTCTTTTTATTGAGGTTCTTGCTCTTTCTGCACTGCAGTGTCCATCATTTTCACCACAAGAGTCTTAATGTCTGGAATGCAATCTCCTAAAACTGCCAGTGGCTCAAGGTGGGGGTTGCACAGTCTGAACTCCACTGCTGAAACCATTTTCTAGCACATTTATGTATCATGTCTAACCTGAACAAGCAGGCAGAGGACAGTTGCTTGATTTAATACAGTATCCGTGCATTGCTCTTTAATGTAGGTGACCTGGGAAGCTCTGTAACAAGCAAATACATCTGTCTGGGCTACGATGACTGGCTGGCTAAGGAGCTCAGCGACAGCGGGAGGAAAGCAAGCCTACTGAGAGCGCTTCCTCCCTCCGTACGTGCAAAAAGCAAGGCATCGATCAAAATCAACTGCCTGGTCAGGAAAAGCACAGTTGGCAATGCTGTCTTTGCATTTTTGCCAGCATGAAAGGGACACAAACTGGTATTTCCAAATCTAGCCATAGGAAAATAGAGCACAGTGGTGCCAAGCTTTCCTTTGAGAGTCAATCTGTACTCACTAGCTGCCTAATTAAGAAGCCTATAAAAAAAAGGGACAGGGACAAAAAGAAGGCACCGGTCCCATAAAGGTTGCGAGTGTGGGCTCTCCCTAGCTGGCACACCATGGAAAGACACGTGAGAAAATGGGGGGATGAAGTTGAGTTTTAGGCAGCTGCTGATAAATGATTTTTTTTTCTTTTTTTCTTGTTGTAACTTAATTCCCAGTTCTGTGAGCAGTTAGATACCATGTCCTCCGCTAGAATAAACTGCATTTATTATTTTCCTTAATCTGCCTAATTTGACATGTGGTCTCAAAAATACTCTGACAAGCTCAGGGTACCCTAATCCTGCCGATTTGTCTACAGAGAGAACTAGTGAGTTCCCAAAGTGTCCATCTTCCAACAGGTGTTTTGAGGTTCTTGAAAAACAGAGATGCATGATTTCCATAAAGCTGTGGGAACTGTTCTGGAAGCTGGTCAAACCAGGTGCCATTCCAGCAGACAGAAATCCCCTTTGCCCAGTGCCTTTTCAGCAAGCAGAAAAAAATCCCCATAATGACTGAGAATACCTGTGTATGACAACGCCCTTTGACAGAGAACACTCTTTGGATCCACGAACTTCTCCAAACTCCTCAATGGCTGGGTCTGATGTAGCTTTTGTCTTTCGTATCTTGAGTAGAAGTAAATGTGACAGCAATTTGTCAAAGAGATAGAGAGGTAAAATACAACAGTGAGACCCAGAGTTCTGCAACGCTCCAAAGACCACAATAGCCTCAGAAATATTTTCCTCAAACTGAGCCCAGCCCTGAGGAGCAGAGAAAAGTGTAGAATTATCCTCATTTCACATCATCACATGAAAAAGAAAGAGAAGTGAATATGCCAATTTTACAAGCCTGAAAATGAATGCGAGCAAGTATTTGTCCCACCATCTGGGAGGAGATGATAGAAGTGAAGGAAGAGGGGATACGGGGGGGATGGTAAAAGTTCACAGAGACCTTCTATTTTTCTGGAGGGATGCTTCACATTCCAGCAGCAAAAATGAAGGAAGCGGACATGAGGAGTAGATCAGAGAGGGGAAATAGGAAGATGGATGAAGTGCAAGGCTGGAGGAGCAAACGAGTCAATTATGAAAAGGAGGAAGGGGCTGTGTGCAGAAACCAATGAGGAGATGGAGCTCAGGGGAAGAAACAGCAGCCAAAACAGTCTCAAGTCAGAGACGCTGCTGGGGTGAGAAGGACAAGAAAAAAATGGAAATCTTTCAGATAATGATAAAACTGTAAACCTCCGTCCTCTGTATCTGTTTGATTATGGCACCTCTGTCACCAGCTCTATCAGGACAACTGAGCATGGCCCTGCTATAGACAGACAGGAAAAATCAGCTATGTCAAAGCTGCAAACTGTTGGTTTGTGTAGAGAAATCAGAAGCAACACATGAAACTCACAGCAAGAGAGCAAGAGGAGGAACCACTGAGAACTATGGGTCATGCCTGAAAACCAGACAAGTAGATGAAGGAGAAACAAAGTGAAATGCCAATGGTATAGAAGCAGTGAATGCCCAGAATGAACCCAGCAGATGAGGAGGATCAGAAGTGAGCACCACTGAACAAGGGGCAAAGGCCAGCTGTACTAATGGAGGGAGAAGGAGATGGGCTGATGCTGGATAGACCTTAAACCAATACCCTGCTTCCATTGCCCAGTGAAAGTTCTCAAACAAATCGAGAAAAAGCAATCCTCTTTCTGCATAAATTCCAATAACAACAGTTAAGTTCCTGAGCTGCTCCTCTTTAAGGCGGTGATGAGAGACAAAGGTCTGCAAGCATCACTTGCAACGTTGAAACCATGCAAAGACACAGTCTTCACATGAATCTGATATAAACCCTACCCCTCCTACTGACAATGAACAAGCAAACAGTTCCTTCCCCTGGCTTGGCAGCAATGGGGCAGGAGAAAAATGATGTATGATGACAAAGCTCCGACAGAAGCATTTCCACAGCCCTTACAGCAACACAGCCTCACCTCAGCTCTGCTTAGGTGCTGGCATGTCTGCAGAAGTGAGGGGGAAGGCACAGGGTCCCTAGCCCAGGCACAGTAGCTTATCACCCAGAAACAACTGCAGGGAAAGAGCATATATTCACAGCGTAGACATCTCCTTTGTCCTTTCTACCATGATCTGGGTGTTGCCTTGTTTCTTCTCTGTCCACAGTTTCCCTTCTGTTAGCTCTTTAGTAACAGCAACATGGAGAAAGCTAAAAATAAAGCTATATAAGCAACATAATAGGCATGCAATTGGATGTCTATTTTCTTTGAAAAAAATGATGCTTTATTTCCTGTACAATGGAAACTACAGTTTGATGTTACAACTATTGGGTTTTGACTGAATGCAGAAATTTGACTTAAACAATGACATTTCCCCCTGTATTTAGTATTACCATATGTCACTGATTATACATTTAAGTTGCAGAAATGAATTAAATTTCATGGCTTCCTCAAGTTAAGATTCTCTTGGAGTGGACTGTCTTTTGTTATTAACCAAAGTGCTTGGAAAACAGTTTAAATCAAACCAGCAGACTTTTGGTATCATTTCAGGAGAAAATTGGTTATCACAAACCAAGCGCTTAACTCATCATCATCCAGAAGGCTGGGTAAAGCTTTCCAAACCTGCAGTAACCATGGCCAGGATAGAGAAAAGGGGTTAATTCAACACCACAGACTCAGAGATGGGGGGGGGGGGGGGAAAAAAAAAAAACGCAAG